ATATAATTTTCCATTTTCCCCGACCAAATTTTTCTTACAACAATTCATAAAGAAACGCAAAAAATATTTTTCGAAATTGTGAAACATGAAAATCTTTGGCTTTTCTTTTATATTTAAAATAATAGAGAAATAAAAAAAAAATTCGAAAAAAAAATCGAAGGTATAAGAAGTAGGAGGTACGTACGTTTGAATGAATGGGTGGTGCAATTAAATTCCCTGTAATTTATCGATTATTATTATTATTATTATTAATTCGTACCTTCGATTTTTCTTTTTTTGTTTAATATTCTCACACGATTTGTTTATATATATTTACTATTATTATTATTATTTTGTTTATCAGGTACTCAATTAATTTTTCTATTACGAGAAACCTAAGTCAGAAATTCGCCATGTTTCATAACTATAAATAATAATAATAATTCGATTTAAATAAAGTTATTTATTTATTCATTTATTTAAAACAACAATTAATTATTATTATTATTATTAATTAACTATATTTTTTGAAAATTTATCTATTTTTTTTTTGTTATGTAATTTATGCTAGTGAGAATTAAAGTGAGAATTTTTTTTTTAATTTTTTCCCCCTATTTTATTATCATTATTTCTTTTTAAGATGTGTAATCAATTTGTGATGTTATCAGAGCATTTTCTGCTTCACAATTCCGATAATTTTTTTAATTATTATTATTATTATTTAATATTTATTATAATATTTTTTTTTCTTACAAACCAAAACAACTTTCTCACGTATATATGTACGTATTAGTACATATATATATATAAAAACTAATCAATCAATCATTTTCAATATTGTTGTTTAATATAATAATTATTATTATTATCATTAAAATTTCCCCCTCCATTTATTTAATTGTCATAATTTAAAATTTATAACAAATTTAGTAAATAGTAAAATTTTTTTTTTTTTTGTAATTTAAAGCGTTTTACAATTTTAATAAAAAAAAAAAAAAGAAAAATTATTAAAAATACCAAAATTTTATATGCCCAAAAATAAAATAATACATACATACATAAAAAATAAATAAATAAAATAAATTTGATGGAAATCTATGCGTCGTCACTTTTTTTTTTTTTATACATTTGAGGTAAACAAATAAAAAAAATTTAATAAACAAATAAAACGGATTTCTTTCTATTATTAACTCTCTCCCTTATTTAAATATATAAAATTTATATCATTTCGTGTAAAATGGCAATTATTATTATTATTATTATTATCATCTTTTAAAACTGCTGCAGCAATACTTGCTTTTTTTTTTACTTTGAACAAAAAAACAAAAAAAAAAAGGCATAAAGTTTTTATGTCAATCATATACATAAACACATTCGTGTATGTGTTTATGTAGTAAGCATGTGTATATATATATATATAAATAAATCAACAGAACGACAGAAAGGGGTAATCAACCAACAACAAGAACAACAACAACAAACAAACAAACAAAAAAAAAAAAAAAGATTTTTTTTTTTTTTTTTTATTCGGCCTGTCGCTTTTTTCGTTTCTGTTTCTGTTATTATTATTATTTTTCTCATCTTAAAATTATTGCTAATTCAGGAAATAAAAATAAAATATCTTCCACTATCTCCTAAAATAAGCATCATCACAAAAAAATTTAGAAAAAAATTTGTTTTTTTTTTTTTTTTTTTTTTCAACTGTGTGAGTTCAAAGCCTCAATTTAAATAATATTGATAACGAGTGTCATTTTAAAAGATCAAAAAACTTTTGCTCAGCTGTCCACACTAAAAAGTTCCTTATGTAGGGCAGGAAATTCTAATAAGGGTGTTGACCTTTTGAATTTCGCCAGTGCGTCCATGTGATACAAGGATAATTCCCTAAAAAAAAAAAAAAAAAAATATATGGCCTTTTTTTTTTCTATTTGTTTCCATTACCCCCCATTCTCATTCTTTCATCTTCTCTAACACTCATTAACCTTCCATATGATTTACCTGAGAGCTGGAATTTTAGCCATTATATGATCGTACACCGTGACGTCTCCTTTTAGGGGCAATATATGATTTCTGTCCATTTCAAATCTCAGCGCTCTGGCAACGGCGTGTCTCAAACGATTTATTTCTGTTGTACCTTTTAAACCAGGCCGATCTATAACAAATATCAATATTGAAGAAAAAAAACCGTTATTTTTAAACCAAAAGTGTTTGAAAGTATTTAACAAACCTCCAGACAAAAGAACAACTGCTGAATACAGTGCAAGTTCGGTTTCAGTCAATTTAAGCTCGGCAACGCTTTTGGCAAATTCAAAAACGCTTGTCACGAGTTTCATTTCTGAAGTATCCGTTGTGAAAAAGGCGTCTTGTGGCAATAATGTATCGGCATACAAAACGCAATTTTGTGAGAGATCGAAATATCTCGACATTCTTAAGACAGCCAATTCAAAACTCCCTGAATAATAGAATAGAATAAATAAAATAAAATTTTTCCCTTTTAATTAATAAAAATTCCTCTTTCTCCCTTCCTTCCTCCCTACATTTACCTGCTTTTAAGAGCACTATTTGATCATCCTGAGATAATTTCATAAAACCAGGTATCATTTTAGCAAATTCAATTATTTGTTGAATGACGGTTGTTAATTTTTGCGCGCATTCTAACCAAAGTTCCTCATGGGCCTACGAAACAAACAAATAAAAAATCCACATTTTATGTTTTTTTTTTTTTTCACCTCACCCCCCCCCCCCCCCCGTTATTTCTTTCCTAAAATTATTCACAGGATTCTACTTACCATATTTTTATAATATATAAGTTTTGATAGGTCTTGAGGTTTGTGAAACATTTCATGTATGTGCTCTAGTGTGTAAACGCAGGTTCTTGAATGCGCATCTGCAATAGTCTTGCTTAAAAGTTCGGATATTTGCATAGGATCTGTAATAAAAAAAAAAGAAAAATTATGTAATAATTAGAAAAGGATAGAGTAATAATTCTTTAAGGTACAAAAAAAAAAAAAAAACATTCGTGAAAAATAAAAGGGAATGATTTAAGAACGCAACATTTTCTTGTTTTTTTTTTTTTTGTATTCGCGTGAGCAGGCAAAATTGTTGTGAAAAAAAAAAACAAATTAATTGGCAAAAAAACAAAAAAAAAAAAAAAAAGAAAACAAGCAGGTATTTTTAATTATTACCAAAACAACGGTAATTTAGTTGTTCCGTTATTTTTAAATCTCGTTTTGATAATATAAATAAAATAATAATAATTATTATTAATAAAATTATGATTTTATGAAGAACATTTATGTAGTTTTCTCTTAAGTGAGGAAAAAATAAAAACTAACGCGACAGCATTACTAAGAAACCCAGCATTATAAATTTTTTTTAAAAATGTTTTCTTTAGGTTTTATTATTATTATTATTATTATTATTATTATTATTGACGAAAAGACCCCTGTATCGTGATTCGGGTCAGAGAAAGAAGTAGCAGCACAGAACAGTGCTGCTAAAATCATCATGCACACATCTTACTGGGGCATCCTTGATTGATATCTTCTTCTTCTTTAAGTTTGACAGAAGGCGATGTCATGGTCTGCGAAACCTGGGATCTAGGAGAAAGGTTCTGAGAGGCTTGTGACGAAGGCGACATTGGTTGAAGCAACGTAGTGCTGTCGACAAAACCACCGCCCCCAATGATGTTATCAACGTTTTCTTGTTTAACCGTAACCAGTCGATCAAGGCCTTGTCTTTGAGCTCCTTCTAAACCGGTCCTTTCGTTACTACCATTACGTTCCGTTCTATCATTTCCTGTTGTTTGATTGTTAAGGGAATTTATTCTTTGATTCGATTGATTTTCGACCGTGTTATTACCACTATGGCAGTTTCCACCTGACGTGTTAAGTCTTTGACTGGATTGATTTGAATGCTGCGTTAAGCCTGAATCGGGAAAAGTTAGTTTTTACCATCACCTTTAAAGGCACGGTTATAATTTTTAAGCGTTTCCATTTTAAAAAAATTTTAAATGAACATGGCGGAGTGTAAATTTATTTTAAATACATGTTGGAACTCGAGTGGTTATTACGAACCACCAAATAAAAAAAAAAAAAAATTTTTATCTCGCGTGTAACGACTTTCTTATCAGGATCTATATAATCAATAATAATAATTTCAATGAGTTTTCAAAAGTGATAATTCAACAGTTTAATAAGAGCACCAATTTTTAAAAGCGCGAGTATCTATTTTATTAACGAATCGAAAGTATTTGTGTATGTATAACCTTTTGACCTTTTTGCCAACTCTTTTATAACGCTCACATATCATTTGAAAAAAAAAAAAAGAAAAATTTTTTTTTGTTTAAAAGCAAACATGCAAAACATTGTTTTTGTTTTGTTTTTTTTTTTTTTTTTTTTTCCAACCACTTAACATTTGTGCCTGCTTATTAAGCAATAGAAAATCGATTGAAAATTAATAATAATAATAAAAAAGAGGTGTGATATTAATAATAATAATAATAATGATAATTAATAATAAAAAAAAAAAATAGAAAAAGTTACTTCCTGTAAAAATTAATCATGTTACTTTTATAAATTTATTTATAATTATATATTTGCATGATTGTTGGATTTTGTTTGTTTCGTTTGTTCTATTTTTATGTACACGTTTTTTGAAAATATGTTACCTGTTGTTACGACGCTTGTCATAAGATTTGAATCTGCAGTCAGGGAGTCTAAGCCGGGTCTTGGATCGTAGGCAGTGGTCGAATCAACATAATCTGCACTTATATCATATTGAATGTGATGTGGTGTGTAGTTGTAGTTGGTATAACTACCAACGTCGCTGCTGTTGTACGAATACCTTTTAAAAATTTTAAAAATTTAAAATGGAAATCCATTTTTGTTCATCAATTTAAAAGTATTAAAACAAAAAAAAATTTACCCATTATAATGCAATTGATCGGACGAACTTGGAGTTTGTTGGTCGAACACAGAACTATCGGGTGTGCTTTCGGTTGCCTGTCGTTGTTGTGCCCTATGAAACCTTACTTCATCTTCTACTTTTTCCCTTTGCTTTTTAGACATACGACCAAATTTTACAGCTAAAGAAACACACACGCATAAATTTTTTTCCTCCTTTTATCATTTCCTTTTCGTAAAAAAAAAAAAATTGGGAAATGATAACAACAAACTATTGACACTCCGAAATTTTTTTATTTTTTTTTGTCATCATCACAGAAAATAAAATAATATATATATATTTTATGTAGGCGTGGTATACATCATACAAATATTCACGCGGTTTGGTATTTTTAAAAAAAAGTAAACTTAACGCGCCTTAAAAATAATATATATATATATATTTATTTGAAAAGAAATAGGAAATAAAGTAAAAAAAAAAAAAAAAAAAAATCAAAGAAGGCTATTATGTAGGGTGAACGTCCTTTGTTGCCTGATATAAAACTTCAACAAACAATTAACAAGATAAAAAATTATCGATTAATTGTTTCTGAAATTGCGTTTAAAATCTATTAATTTTCATTATTAATTTTTTTACTCTCATATTTTCTTATTTTTTTATAAACGTGTTTTTCTATTTTTTTTTAATTTACCTGTGAATTTAATTTACCGTAATAAAAAAAAAAAAAAAAAAAAATTCAACCCCGTGAATCCCGAGACTCGTGAAAAATTTAAAAAATAACAACAACAACAACAATATTTATATATATATTCCTTTTTTTTTTTTTAAATAATAAAAAAAATTATTTATTTATATAAACGTGATGTCCATTAACTGATAAAACATAATCGTGATAACAAATGTAATTATTTATAATATTCATGTTTTTTTTTTTTTTTTTTTATTTAAGTTTAAAACAATTTATTTAATTAAATATAATTAATATTTTGTTTATAATTTTTATAACGGATAATGCACCTTTATGCCCTTTGACCCTATACTTTGTTGTTGTTATAAAAATACACATTTTAAATATTTATTTATAGTTTTGGCAAAGTAAAATCAGTCTTCCGGTTCTCACCGTAAAAAAGATAATGAGTCGTTAACCCTGATATAGTAATTACATATCTTCTTGTTTAAAAATTATTGCTTATTAACTTCCTTTTTTTTTTTTTAAAAAAAAAAAAATTGAAACAAAATTGAATTTTTTTTTTTTTTTTTTAAATTTACACAATATTAATAAAATAAATATTGTTAAAAGAGTTTATAAAGTTTTAATTAAAAAAAAATTATTAACGATTGCTTTCAGGCAAAATGATTATTATTCCTGATTAAAATTTTTTTTTTAATGAATTTTCTTTAGGAATGTTATATGATTGACTGACGTGAAAATTTAAAAAAAAAAAAACAAAACTTTGTTCGATGTATCGATTATCTATCGATACATCGAAGTTTCGATATAAAATTAAAAATTGCTTACCATCTCTGCTCATTCCCAGTCGAAGGCATTTTTGCAGACGACAATACTGACACCGGTTTCGATTGACTCTGTCGACAACGCAGTTTTTATTCCGTGGACATTGATAATTAACTACCGAACTTTGGCTGCGGCGAAAAAAGCCTTTACAGCCCTCACATGTGATCACTCCATAGTGAACTCCGCTTGATTTGTCGCCACAAACTTTGCAGGGTATTATCTCAATTTGAGCTGTAATTTATAAGAAAAAAAAAACAAAAAATTAGTCGTTTTCCTTTTAAATTCAATCAATCCCTGCTATACGATTTTATAAATAATCCTCTAAAATTATAAAAAATTTCAAAGATTATTTTTTATTGCGAATAAACGGGAATTTAAAACAAAACGAAAAAGGAAGTAGTTAAAATTTTTTTTTTACAACGTCGACAAATTTTAAAAATAATTTTCGACACTTTTATCGCGCGCAAACGCCTGCGATTTTTAATATATGCAATCGGAACCGTTAATAAAACAAACATTTTTGCGCGCCTTTTTTGCGCAACCGTCATTTAATTAATTATAAAATGATCGGAATGGATTTATTTGCGATCATCAAAGGTTAACATTTTCTTTGAATTAAATATAATAATGAATAATTACAAAAAAAACCAGATGTGTATATATATAGAGATTGTAGGTACGATGGCACGAAATATATTTAGAAAAAAAAAAAAAAAAAAAAAAAAAAAAAAAGATACACGGTTGAAACGAGTACCTCTAATTGAATTTAGCGGATTTCTTTTATCCGGGACATTTAGCGCTCCTTGCGGCGGAGGAGTGGTACTATCCGCGGAACCGTCTGCGCTCTTTGCTTGTTTTCCTCCGTCTTTAATTAAACTGGTTGTTATCAAATTAGCTGCGTTTGTACTGAGAGCCGTTTGCCCATCGAAAAGGACATTTTGTTTATTTTGATTTTCATTTTTAATAACTTCGTACAGGATAGATGATTTTTGTGGATCGTTTTTCATCAAATCGTAAACCCCCTGGGGTTTTGATATGGCCCCAGATTTATTGCCTACTTCGTAAACGCATCCCCCACCACCACCTCCTACCCCCTGTTTGACTGTTTGATCGGTTTTGATAATGTCATAAAGAATTTTATGCGAATCCGTTTTTGTCAATGTGTTCATTAAATGATGGTGATGTTGATGGGCGTTTATATTTGCCCAATCCCGAGAGTTTCCCACGTTGCTGTCGTTGTTCCCGTTGTTTTGAATGTTGTTGTTGTTGCTGTTATTGTTGTTGTTGCCGTTGTTGCTGTTGTTGTTGTTGTTGTTGGCGCCAGACGTTCCGGCACATAATAATTCTTCCAAGGTATCCATTTTTTAAGCTTTTTAATGTTTTTTAAGTTTTTTGACCAATTTTCAACGCTGTAGCAAGTTTTCAAAAACCGCATACTGATTCACAATTTTTTTTTTTTTTTTTTTTTTTAATAAAAAAAAAAAAAAAAAATCGAAATCGTGGTGTCGATGAACTCTTGCGCTTTGTGATGAAAATTTCAAAACTTTTCTTTTCTTTTTTTTTTTTTTTTTATATTACGACTTTTCTTTTCTTGACTGAAAATACGTTGGAAAAAAAAAAAAACTCACATTCAGGTGTCAATTTTATAAATTTTTTTTTATCAAAACCGTATTTTCTATCATATTTTGATTATTATTATTATTATTATTATTATTATTGAAGAATCCTTTGAAATTAAATTTTCTTAATGTTTTAAATTATATAATAAATATATTTTCTCTATTATAACAATTCATACATTATTAAAAAATATATTATTATTATTCTCTTGAAATAAACTAAAAACTACCTTAACAAAAAAAAAAAGAAAAAAAAATTAAAAATTTTAAAAATTATCAACACCCCTCCCCCCCTTGAAAAAAAAAGAAAAATTAAAACAAATAAATAATAATAATAATAATATCAATGATATCAAACGATATATTTAGGATCACTGAACTTTCCTTAACTAAAATTTCACACTTTTCTAATAAACTTTTTCATTTTTTTTTTTTTTTTACAACAATTAGACAAACGATTTTTCATTTGCAATTTATTTATTTATTTATTTTATTTATTAATTAATTTATCACGACATCACAAAATTAATAAACAATTAACAATAACGTAGAATTTAATAAAAAAAAAAAAAAAAAATTATACTTATCACGTGTCACCATTTGAAACTCTTTTTTAATTATTTATTTATTTATTTTTATTAACAAAAATATATTTATTTATTTATTTTTTGGTAAATAAATAAACCGAAAAAAATAATATTTTGTTATTGTTTTTTAACAAAAACGAAAAAAAAAAAAAAAAATTCACATCTAACGATCACTAGATTGCTTCATTGTTAACAAAAAAAAAAAAAAAATTTTTTTTTTTTTATTAATTTTTTTTTTTACTATTTTTTATTAAAAAAATTTTTTATTTTTTGTGAGGAATGAAAAAAAAAAAAAAAAAGGTTTTCGGCACGCAATTACGAGAAAATTTAAATTTATTTTATTTTTTTTCGAAAAATGGGGGAAAACCGGAAAAAACGCAGAACCGTATTTTAGCCCACGGCGTTTCAACTAACACGAATTTCTAATGTGTATGTATGACTCCCCCATGATAATATCATCAACGTAAAATGACCTCGTTTGTATTATTCCCGTAGCGTTTCCTCACAGTCAACTTAGAATTAAATATTTTTGTCATAGATTTAGGATTCGATTTTAAGGATAATGTATTTTGTTTTTTTGTTTTTTTTTTTTTTCCATAGAGTTTTCGCGTTTGTAAAAAATGCGGAAGTACATTAAATAAATTTTTCCTGCGGTCGCGGGGTTAAATTCAAATGTAAAAAAAAATTTATTAAAACTTTTTTCTTTCTTTCCTTTTTTCCTTTTTTCCTTTTTTCTTTTTTCTCTCTCCATTTTTTTGATTGATTTACGTTTTTGGTTTTATTTAATCCTTTTAAAATCCTACCAACTCTCATTCGAATTAATCGTAACGAACGCAATGCGTTAAGAAAAATAATAATAATAATTTTATGTAATTATATCAAACGCCATGATAAAAAAAAAAAAATTAATGACCCACGATTAAAACTATTTAAAATAATATCAAATCAATAACAAACATATTTTCACATTCAATGAAACAAAAACAAAAAAAAAAATTAGTCACGTGACAAATTGTTTTATTACCTTAATCAAAAAAGTATCTTTAAAAATTAAATACGATAAATCATTTACCATCATGTTTTAATATTATTATTTCAATTTCGAATAGTAATAATAATAATAATGATGAAAAGGTTCAATGGCAATAATAATAAATAAATAAATAATAAGTCGACGAAATCGCGACTTTTTTGATAAAAAGTTTTTGTCCTTTAACAGATAAAAGATGATCTTAAACAAACAAACAAACGACAAAACATTTTTTAAAAAATTTTCTTTTAATTTAACCATAAGATTATTAAAACGATTTTTTTTATGTTTTGTTGTTGTCGTTTGTTGTTGTTGTTGTTGTTTTTATCAGAAAACACAAATTAAAAAATTTTTTTTTGGATGAACAATAGTAGTTTATTGCGAATAAGGACGTTATCCCAGAGAATAACAATATGAATAAATTTAGAACAATATCGATTGTTCTTTGAGTTCGTTGGTCTCGGACCTTACAGGAAGAATTTTTACTTTTTTTTTTTTTTTTTTTTAATACGGGATTCGAAACGTTTTTTTTAAAACGATTATTATTATGAGTACTTTGTAAAAAAAAAAAAAAACCGTTTTTAATAATAAAAAAAAAAAAAAAATTTACAGTAATTCCTTCGTCGTCATTTTTTTTTTATTCACACGTTTCAAATAAATAATCAATAATTATATTTATATATATAAATATTTTCGTGAAATTACATTTCGGACGTTTCCTCATTTCATAATAATAATAATAATAATAGGAAAATTTTTGAAAAGGAAATAAACCTTTCTCAATAAAATGTGCCAGGCGCACCGACATTTTATAAATAATTAAATAATTTCCATTAATAAAATTCGTAACATTTTTTCATTTATTAAAAAAAAAATCAATTTTGACGTATTTAAATAAAAAAAAATTCAATTTTTATAAATTATTATTATTATTATTATTATTATTTAAGTGAATTTTCTTTGTCGAAAGAGAACAATAAATTGTGAAAAAAAAAATAAAAAAAAAAAAGTAAAAAAAAAATTCCGATGAATAAACCTTCTCCTGAATCCCGTTTCTATGACACATTTTGATCGCCCTTCCCAGTTCAATGACCTAAAGGGAATCGCATTGACTGCCGTAAGTTAACTAACGAAACTCACGGAAATCATATCGTAATAACAGTCTTTTTATAATGTAACATACATAAAGCCGTAGTTTTTAAATTTCTTCTAAAACTCGGTTAAAAAAAAAAAAAAAAACGATGGCTACGAAAAGTCGTAGCGTGATGTCGATTAAAAAAAAAAATTTTTTTAATAAAAAAAAAAACGATTTATTTAAATTTGCAACAACAACAACAACAACAAAAAAGTTAATATTTAACAAAAAAAAAAAAAAAATTATTAATTAACATGCAATAAATAAAAAAAGGTAAAATGAAAATAATGTAAAATATATATAACGATTATATCCGGAAAAAAACGAAATAAAACGAAGTAACGATGAGCAAATTTTCTTCCGCTACTACTCCTACTCCTACTACTCTTTTAGATGAATGACGTTAATTTAAAAAAAAAAAAAAAAAAAATTTTTTTTTTTTTTTTCTTACAAAACAACAAACCTGAAATTTAAATTCAAGGTTTTTGTAAAAATTCTTTTTGTTTTTTTTAAATTGAAGAAATCTTCAAGAACCCAAACGTAAAATTTGATGGTGGTTTCGTAAAAGACGTCATCACGTCATCCATTTTTCGGGTTGGATACGAAGAATAAAATTTTTAACCTCACGCCCCCGCACCCCCAGGATCATTTCCTATCGTACAAAATATTATGTGACGTTCGCAAAAAAAAAATTTTTTTAAATAACACCAAATCAATTTTTAACTAATTGAATACTTAAAAAAAACTTTTCATAACGATTTCTTTTGAGTTAATAAGTTATTAACTGACCCTGAGGAAATCCTTCATAAAAAATTTTTTTTTTTTTTTTTAACTTTCATTTAACTTCCAATCCAATACTTGATTACTTCCATCCATAAATATCTGCGTTTTACACTTTTTTACAAAACATTTTGAAAACGCACCCTGACCCTGGTTAGGGGAAAAACCGTAAGATAGTACCAGAATAAAATATTAAAACTCCAGGTAATTATTATTATTATTTTTTCCATAATTAAAAATTATTAAATAAATACATTAATCGATCACGTTTATCTCAATTTATAAAAAAAAGATTTCGTTGTTGTTATCATCAAACAAAAAATAAATAAATACACACTCGAAATATTATTATTATTATTATTTTGATTTTTTTTTCGTTTCCGATCGTTTTTTTTTTTTTTTCAATAAATAATAAAAAAATAAAAAAATGAGGTATCGTTAAAAACGTATGACGGTAAATAAAAAAAAAATATTATTAATTTTCTAACATAAATAAATAATAATAATAAATGTGAAATGTTTAAATCTTGAAAATTAATTAATAAATTAATGACGTATTTGTAATTTTTGTAATTTTATCATTTCATGATATTAATAAATAAATAAATAAATAAATAATTTTTTTTTTTTTATTAATCGGTTCTATAACAATCAAAAAACAATTCAAAAAAAAAATTAATGGCGTATAATAATAAATATATATATAATATGAGTGAGAACATATGAGTAAACCGTAGAATATATCGTAAATATAAAAGATAATGTTCGTGGTTGCGAAGTGGGTCAAAGTCTTGTTGCGCCTGCGTTTAGGTCAACGTCCGAATGTCGCGGGATTCGCATATCCATCTGTTAGCAGACTGCTCGTTCGGAGTTCGACACATACACACACGCACTCACGCACACGCACGCACACACGCACAATCTTACATAAAAAAAAAATATATATATATATATATATCGTATTCAATACGAAAGAAAATTTTTTAATTTTTTAAACGCGGCAATTTCAAAAAAAAAAAAAAAATCGTGGTTGTAGAATAATTTACTGATCGATGTTTTTTTTTGTCGTATTCGTATTATCAGTTACACGGTAAATCCGATTGCGTCATTAAATACGTCATCAATAACAAATAAAACCATGACGATGGCGACGAATGAATATGATCCGCCAATGATTTAAGTCCATCAATTTTTTGATTTAAAAAATTTCGCTGATTTGATTGTTTTGAAACGATTTTACAAAAAAAATAAATAAATAAATAATAATACCGCCATTTTTATTTGTTTATTTTTATTTATATCCCGACTGAATTTTTGTAAATTTGATTTTAATTTGAAAAACACGAGATTTTCATTAATAACATTGTTGTTGTTTTTAAAGGTATCTTCATTAGAATTCGCGGTTTTTTGATGTTTAAAATACGTGGAGGACCTTGAGTCTCCTTTCGAGTTAAATTTTCATTCCCCTTCTACTACTTCTCATCTCTCCCTCCCCTCTCTATCTTTATGACTTTTCATCAGTTTCTATCATGACCTTCTGTTGCCAGGTTTTTTTAATAATTTTTGTTTTATTCTACACTATTCATCGTTTATTATAACGATTCGCACAGGGAAAAATAAAAAAAAAAAAAAAGAAAAAGAAAAAAGAAAAATAAAGAAAAACTTCTCGGTTTTACCTCGTAACAAGTTTGATCCTTCGAACGCGGAATAACAAATTGATATATTATGTAAATGTTTAGCTTATGTTAAAATGGGATCTTTATGTAACGCGGTAATTATATCCTTGGAATAAAACATTCAACTCTTATATGACCTACTTATTGAGGCACCTTAAGTTGACCGTTGTTGATGCACCGATTTGTGTAATTTATTATATCTTCTTAATGAAATTTTTCCAAGATGCGAATAAAACATTCTTAAACATTAATTGAACCGGTAATTAATTTGTTTTATAAGACACGATGAATTTTTTTTATAATTTAAAACCGGTCCCGATAAATTTTGCTGTAAAAAAAAAAAAAAAAAACAAAAAAGAAAAAAGAAAAATCGTGCACAAGTTTTTGTTTATTTAAAAGATTTTTCGTTTTTACTATCTCCTTTGTTTTTGTTTTTCTTCTTCTTTTTTTTTCTATTTTTTTTAACGAAAAAGTTTTCATTTTAAATTTCAATTACTAAATTTTATTCGTGCTCCCACCCCCCCCCCCTATCCCTACTACCCATTTTCGATTGGAATTCGAAAAGTATCAAAAAATAAAAAATCGGTAAAGAAAAACCAAAAAATTAAACAACAACAACAACAACCAAAATAATAATAATAATAATAATAATAATAATAATAATAATAATAATAATAATAATAATAATAATAGTCTGTGTTTTATTAATAGTAAAATATTTTTAAATAAAAAAAGAAAACTTTTTATTAGTTAACAAAAAAACTAAAATGAATTGAAAAAGTTTTCTTTTTTTTTGATTTAATAAAAACTATCAATTTTTGTTTTTTTTTTGATAAACGCCATAATAATATCGTTCGATATTTTTAATTAATTTTTATTTTCTCATTAAAAACACTCATCACTCGTTATTTCCTTATTGTTTGCAAATAAATTTCCTCCTTCCCCCTCCCCCCGAAATCAAAAAAAAAAATTTTTTTTCTTTTTTTTACTCTCTGAATAATACAAAATAACAATTTCCTTCGTAAGTTTTTAACAATTCAAAAAATTAATTATCGTTTCAACCAAATAATAATAATAATAAAAACATGTTTTCAATTAAGGCAAAAAGGAAAAAAAGAAAATTTTTTAAATATATATATATATTTTACGGAAACCCAAAATCGTCGTCATCGGGGTAAATGACACTTTATATATATAGAAATAAAAGTTTTCCTTTTGTTTTATTTTTTTTTTTCAATTAAATATTTTATATAAAAAAGAAATTATTATTATTATTATTATTATTTTATCGAAAATTTGTTTATTTTTTTTAATTCCTTTAACCCTCCCCCCCTTTTCCCTCCCCCTTTTTGCTTTTTTTTCCTTACATCCCACGGGAATAAAAAATTTTTGATTTACGTTTTTTATTTCATTATCATTATTATCACTGTTAATATTACAATTGTTAGATTTTAATAAAAAAATTTTGTCGTTTAATCATTACATTGTTTCTTTCTTTTTAGAAAGTGACCACGTCGATAATAATAATAATAATAAGTCATTCCGTTAAAAAAAATTTGCAGTTATACGTTTTGCACATAACGTAGAATTTATATTAATATGTCATGGTTGGCGAATGTTTCCGGCAAACGATTGGACACATATTCCTATAGTATCTCTATTATATAATAATAATAATAATAATAATAATAATAATTTTTTTTACATTCCTCACTCGTTTCACTTGCTTTCATTTAAATTATCGTTTTTTTTAACTAACTAAATCCCTTTTCCAAGTGGTAAATACATATTTGCATGAAAAATTATTATTATTATTATTATTATTATTATTATTATTATTATTATTATTATTATTTACATACACATCCCAAAACAAAAAGAAAATTATTTGTATCATCGAAATCATTGATTTTTAAAAAACAAAAAAAATTTCAGTTCCTCAGGCAACCATTTTCTACCATTTTCTCTCTCTTTTTTTGTTTTTGTTTTCGACCGGAAAAATTTGTTTCATATACGTAATATACGAATAAGGAAAAGTAGTGTGAATGCCTCGAGAGAGAGAGAGAGAGAGAGAGAGAGAGGGAATGTATGTTACGTAATAGTCTTATGTTATAATGAAAGTATTGTTTTGCATTCGTTGCCATTATCATTCGGTTAACGTTTTTCTTTTTTGATTAAAAAATTTTATTTTATGTTTTTATAAATAAAATAATATCAATTAATACTTTATAACAAATACCTTTAAAATAACTATTTAAAAAAAATTCGTTTTAATGTTAAATATTAATAATAATAATAATAACAACGGAAAAATGTTTACATAAATTTTCAATAGATTTATTATCATTGATAATAAAAATAACAAAAACAATTGAATTTTCATCGATTTTTTAATGAATTTTTTTCCTAAAAATTGTTTCCCATGTAATAATATCGTTCATATCAATTTTTCTTTTGGAAAACAAACAACAACAACAATAATAATAATGATCGAGAATATTTAACAAAAGGGGAAAAACAAGAAGTTTTAATTTTTTTTTATGTTTTAATTAAAAAAAAAATTAAATATTAAATATTAAAAAAAATTTTGTAAAATGGAATACATACTGAACGAACCTTTGATGGACCCCGCAGCATTGGTACTTGTTTGGGGCAATTGAGAATTTGAGGTTGTACCTGGTTGTGATGTCTCCAATTTGGGAGAAACAGAATTCCACATGTCAAACATATTAATATTAAAATCCTCTTTTTTTTAAATGTATTTGTCACTTAAAAATTTATAATAACAATTGGCGGGAAGTTTTCATTTATAACAAACAAACAACAAACTCAAAATAAACAAACAAACAAACGCGAATACAATCGACAAAAAACGTTTTAAATAAAAAAATTTTTTTTTTCTTTTTCATAACTTTTTGTTTGTCAAATTTTCATTATCCTTTTTTTTAAATTTATTTTTTTTATTTAACGTCCACATTATTTTA